AGTGAATATAACTAGAAGTTTTGTAGATCCAATTGAAAAATATTAAACAGATCCTTATAGTATAATCTACCAAACGATCTAGTCATAAAATTTCGAGTCCTATTATAATAACCAGAAATTTTGCTAGATTTAACCAAAATGCATTTAACCATATACATCTTGTTGATATAATCAAACCATTTTTCTCAGTGTGTATATGTTGTAAAACATTTAAACCTATTTACAGAAGCGTTTATTAAAAAAATTTCTTATTGTGTGCGTGCGTGCGTGCGTGTGCGTGTGTGCGCGTGAGATATTGATGTAATAATACGTATAATAGTGATGTAATAATAACACATATCATCTGTGTATAAGTACTACTTTCACTACGAATAATCATCTTTTATAGGATCCCCTTAATAGTCATATGTGTATACTATTAAGGGTATACTGTGCACTTAGTCCGCAACTTATACGATAAGAACATTTAAGAGAAATTCTCAATGGGACCCATACTAGTCTCGCTAGTCATGAAAGAGTTAATTATTAAGAAACATGAAAACGTAATATATATCTGTATAAAATCTTAAAGAACAGTATAAAAAATTGTCTTAAAATTCAGATCAAAGCTGAAGTTTTCTTAGTCACATTGTTTGAATTTCGATCAAAATATTGTCTGTATATTTAGCTATAGTTAAGTAACTGTAAGAAACTTCAGTTTTTTTCTGAATTTTAAGGCAATTTTTTACATTACAATAATAAATTTGATGGATATGCAATGTCCCGAAAAATCACAATCCCGAAAACTGAAAACTAAGACAATGTCCTGAAATGTCACAGTCCCGAAATTTAAGAAATTCGTCAATTTCCCGAAGAGACATAATCTCGAAATAACGTATAATAAATCAATCTTACTAAGATTCCTTACAAATCAGAAAACCCCAGGAAAGAACAAGGGCAATAGGAGTCAAGCGCGGGAGAATTTTGATAAAAATGCACTCAATCGGTGCGTTTTCGCGTAAAAATAATGATTTGACAAGAAAAAAGTGTCGCTCTGCTCTGGGAATTGAGATATTAATCATTAAAGTCAACAACTATTCAGGTTAGGAAATCTGTCATAGTAGTGGTTCACTGTTTTAAAAACACAAATTCACTGTTTTAGCAGAGTATTTATTTTTAATGCAGAGAATTTGTAACGTTACTTATTTCGCTTACTGCTTACGTTTTATTGCTTAAGTTTTTTTGTGTGCTATGGCCCTTAAATATAAAATCCGATTATGAATACCGGCCTATGAATTCAATTTAGATGCGAAAACTTGCATTAGTTCTACGAGCTCGATCTTTGAATCCAGAGTGGATTGAGGAGCTCGATTAGCTCTAGAAATGTTAATACCGAACGCAGATGAGATGACATGTAGCTGAAAGATACGAGTTGCCGAACGATTTTGCGAGGTAAAAAAGCAAACGGATGCCTCCGATTTGCAATGCCGAACGCACCTATTTTATGTCTCTTCGGGACATTGTCATTTACAAACAACACGTACTTTTTTTGGTATTCCGTTCTTTTTTTTCTTCTTTGCCAGTACTAGGAGGATGAGGATCTCGTCTTAATGTGGAGTAGTGCTTTCTTCTTCTTCTTCTTTCCTCCTCTTTTCCAACTCAGAATAGTGCTTCAGAATCGGAATGCAATGCACTGGCCACTGGACAAGTAGAACAAAATGATCACATCCGCACTGTACGACTACAACTGGGTCACTGTCCGTCTGTCGGGTACTGAACTATGCGAGCTTAATGGTTGGGAGAGAGGGGGCTGCGCTTTACTGTACTTAGCGCATGCTCGGGTTGGGTTGCTAGGATTCGTAGACGGGCGGTCGCAACTTATTGTTACCGCCCTTTTAGATGTATGTTACGGACACGAGGAATGTCTATCCATTTGAAGTAGGGATGGGCTAGAGACCTAGATAACAGAGAGGCGTCAGGTGAGAAAATGGTCTGATTGGTTCGCTAAATCACGTGATTCAGCGCCATTTTCTTTCATACTATGGTATGTTGTAATGTAAATGGGCAACCCCTAAATAATATTAAATTAATTAAACGAATGGTTGAACATGGACGAAATCCCACCAGATATACATGGTTTGTCCGAAAAATAATGTCAATGACTTTATTGTGAAGCGACTATACGTCGCAGCGCGATCGGATCGGTTGGAATCAGTGGAGGGGGAAGTTAGCTTACGAACGCGCGGTCGCTCAGTCGTTTTTGATCATTCGGTGAGTAAAGACAAGTTTTTCCGTGAAACGTGTTTTCGTCTCCTGTGCAAGCTGTAATGCAGCGCTCGTTGATGGCCGTCCAGCGCGGGTTTCATCGCTGATCTCTTCACCTTCTAAAAAAGCCTTATTGCCCGTGTCACACTACGGATTGTGGACGCGGATCGGATTGGGATTGCGGATCGCGGATCGGAATTCAGCCAATCAAGACAAGGCAGTTTCGGATCCGGATTATAGATTGCAGAATAGACGGCTCTCTATTTTTGCGATCCGTAATCGTGATCCAAGCCAATAAAACATCGAGTTTGGTCACATGACCCATTTATGATGGATGAATAAGCATTGTTTGTTGTGGTTACAGACCTATGCTAATCATAGAGACGTGTTTATAGAGAATTAAAAATCGGGATGTCCTACAAAATTCGGAATGGTTAGCCACCCTATACACAGCAAACGTCGACGACACTGTATTAACGACACGACATTTGCGATACAGCATATATTGCAAATTGAATCCGTAGTCCGTAGTGTGAACGAAGAATCCAAATCCAACGATCCGCAATCCCAATCCGATCCGCGTCCACAATCCGTAGTGTGACACGGGCATATGTCACCGGTAGACTTGTCGATCCGACAAACAATCATCAGTTTCCATTGCGGACTTGCCGAGTTTCACACAAAACTTGATCGCAATTCTTTGTTCGAACAAGCGCTGCATTACGGCTTGCACAGGAGACGAAAACGCGTTTCAAGGCCCTTGCACAATGCCAGGCAACAGGCAATAGGAACAGGCAATAGAAATAAGGAATAAGAAATTATCGCCACCAATGCACAATGATGCTATAGCGATAAAAACCAACCAATCAGAACATTCGAATTTTGTCGGCTGCTTCGTAGTGTTCACTTAACCCGAAAGTAATATAGCTCCAAATTCTTGGTGTGAATTAAATGGTATATTTTAAAATTTTGGTTGAAATAGAGTCAGATATAGAAAAAAAATAGAGTCAGATATAAAAAAATAGAATCAGATATATGTATACATATATAAATTCTGTAATATAATTCTGTATAAATATAATTCTGTACTGTATGTGGTTTTATTAGTATAATAAGATTTTCGTTGACATCCTTTTTGTAGATTATTAACTATGGATGACGAAAACATTATGTTATTTCTCTGTGCAATGCAAGTAGCTAGCCTAGCATTGTACTCTGCATGGAAAGCAAAAAAATCTAGGCGCTGGAGGAACAGGCGATGGTGGGTCCGTCCCATCAATACTCGACGCGAACAGTATGGTGACTTCGCAAGTTTGTTTGCAGAATTGAAAGAAGATAACCTTCTTTGGGTTATATGTCTTTCCAAGAAAGTAAGACTATCAAATAACATCCATTTTTGTCTCGTGGGCTTTTTGCTTCCACTCCTCGTCTCTTGTTCCCGCAACTGCCTCTCCTTGCTGAATCTTTGACGAAGACGTAACCAACGATTCTTGCATTCTATAGCTATAATATACACATCAAATATAAATAATTGTAATCATATAATATATGTAAAACGGTGAAGTTTAGAGTTAAATTAAAGTTTACTTACATGTAATATTTAGAGCAGTGGCAATTTCTGTCCATGCATTCTCCTTCATTTCCGCATCTTTATAGTTTTGTACCATTTTATTATAAAGATAAGGGCGAGAACGAACCATATCAATTAATAATTCATCACCATGTTTCATATATGTATTAATTGATTTTTCATTGGATATATCCAGTCCGTCGTCCAGATACACTTCCTCTTCTTCGTTCTCGAAACGCATCGAATATTCATCATGATCGTGCATATTACAGCTTTTAGATCGCAATTTTAGATCGCAATTAGAGCTTGTGCTACACATACGCGCCACAAATTCGAAAATATAACCTAAGCAATCCGAACGCTGTGATTGGTTGGCAACAGGCAATAGGAACAGAATTTCCAACGTGACGAAAATTCTGTGTCTATTCTAATTCTGTGTCACGGTCCATTCTGCATTGATACATGGTTTCTGGTATGTTCGAATTCCTTGTTCCTATTGCCTGTTTCTATTGCCTGTTCCTATTGCCTGTTGCCTGGCATTGTGCAAGGGCCTTCACGGAAAAGCTTGCCTTTACTCGTCGAATGATCAAAAACGACTGAGCGACCGCGCGTTCGTAAGCTGACTTCCTCCTCCACCAATTCCAACCGATCCGATCGCGCTGCGACGTATAGTCGCTTCACAATAATGTCATTGACATTATTTTTCGGACAAACCATGTATATGCTATTGGATTCCAGGAATTAGATTTAAACAAAGAAGTATTTCTATTTCATAAAACTGCTAGAAAAGAGGAATGGAGGTATATATGTCATTTGTATCAAATAAAATAAAATAACGTAGTATGTCCACTTTGCTCAATTATCTCTCAAATAAATTTTAAATAATTTATTATAATGGAAAATGTTTCAGACTAAAGTTAAATTTTTATAATAAAGTAAAACTTTTGTAATATATATATATTACAAAAGTTATATATATAGGGTGTCCACCGCAACTCTTCCAATCTCCCACAGTAAGGTAGATGGGATCGAAATAAACATAAAAGTCCTTTACCGATATCCATAATAATAATCGAGATATTAAAGTTTGAAATTGTACTAATGAGAGCGCGCCTATAGAAAGAACAGAAACGATTCCGGCCGCTCGAGGTATAGCTCGGCCCATCTTCTTCTTTAATTAATAGCTCACGCCTCCAAATAACAATAGGAGGTCGATACGGCCAGATCACGTTTAGGATTGTTTTCCGTGTATTAAAAAAAAAATGATGCAATACCCGCGAAAATGGCTAAGCCCGTTCGAACACCGGGCGCCTGCGTCCGTCTACGACGTCGTCACGTCGCAAGGAAGACCGAACGGGTCGTCCAAGACCGCGGGATGATTATGTTTCAATGCTCGGTCAAAGTCGGCAACACTTTCAAAAATATACAATAACTGTAGCGCACCCGAGTCGAGACGCGTCCGCCACGAGCGAGTGGTTCATCAGAACTGATGCCAGCCCGGCCCAGTTTGACAAACTACTGGATGCGGCGGCAGGAGAGACAAGAGGGGAAGCGCGCCGTTGCTTAGCGCTCGGCATCGCCGCTCACACGTCTCACCGCACTGCACCAAAGGACTCATGCGATGGCTGTTACGCACATGCGCGATTTCATTACATATGTAATAATAACATATGTAATAATAAATAGGACAAATACAAACCATAATAAACTTCGATGAATAAAAATGTCGAAAGAGAGAAAGCGATGAAACCTATGGAAATCTACGGAAAATCTAATTAATTTTTATCGTAATCTGTCGCTTCTCTAAATCGAAAGGAAAAAGTTTTAAGAAAAAAATATCTGAAAGCGCTAAGCAACGGCGCGCTTCCCCTTTTGCCTCTCCTGCCGCCGCATCCATTTGTCAAACTGGGCTGGGCTATACCTCGAGTGGCCGGAGCCGTTTCTATTCTTTCTATAGGCGCGCTCTCATTAGTACAATTTCAAACTTTAATATCTCGATTATTATTACGAATATCGCTAAACGTAAAGGACTTTTATGTTTATTTCGATCCCATCTACCTTCCTGTGGGAGATTGGAAGAGTCGTGCTGGACACCCTGTATATAAATATATATATATGTATATAGAAAAATGAGATGAATCAATTGATACAAAAGAAACACGTAGTTAGTTTTAAAAAATGTTATGCAATTTATATAATATATGTAACTATAAATTGTTGTATATATCGCTGTAATTCCAACGATACCACCAGTACGCACGTGTAATTAGAGTCACTCCAGCTACACGTGCGTCCGATGCGTACTCAGGTACGATTATATTGCTCCTACCGAGGCTTTGTCCCGTCAGATGACTGGCAGCAAAAGTTTTTTTTCAAGTTCACGATATAAACTACTAGAAAAAAAATTTTAGCCCTAATCATCTCTGTCAATCGGTTCAATTTTTTCGCATATATATATGAGTGGCAAGTATGCCGTTCTACAAAGTGGCAGATTATTTTTCTTCTTTTATAGTATCCATAATTAGTACAAAAAGTTTTAACTTTAATCATCTATAACATTCACATTATTTTTTTTTACATAATTGAGACACCACTATCAAGAGTTGTTCCATTGGTGCGTCGGCAGGAGGTTATTTTGTGGATATGCAGCATAAATATAGTAGAAAAAAAGTGAATCAACTTTAATCATATTTGACAAAAAAAAGTGATGCTAGCTCCCGGACTAATATACTGATTATTGCGAAGAATATTACTAAGGCCTCGGTGGTCTAAAGGTATTTATAATTTGATTTCTTATGTGTGTGTTTTGTGTATGGCATATTAAAAATATAATAACATATATAAAAACATTATAAATTAAAAGAGTACAAAGTATTTTAATAATTCACACACACACAAAATTCATTGCTTATAAATTTATACATATTTTAATTGTGAGTAAGAATTGTCCATCTCGATTTACTCTTTCCATGAATTTTAACGACATACATATGGGCTTTGATGTAATTTAGGTAAAAGTATCGATTAGGGGACTAAGCTCCAATGACCTTGACTTTGACATATGTTGTCATGACCCTCAGTGACCCTCCAACAAGTTTTAGCCGTCGCTCGTCCTTCATTAAAAAATTATTAACAAAAAATGTTTGAAAAAATAACATCTTATTTCAGCTATATATAATATCAAAACTATTATATACAGTACAATGAGCGTAATTGTTATCATTATCAAGGTTCTTATATACACGCCACTGATTGGTATAAATTATTGAACCACGTAGGACATATTTTCATATAATTGATAAGAGAGTGTTACTGGATCGATTTGGTACAGGTAGGATGAAAATGTTTTTGGTATTACGTTTAATATCACCAAAAACCCATTGTCCTTCAATTATAAGACCTTTATTGTACTTTCTCTTGTCTCGTCTAATTCCACAATGTGGCCATTTCCACCAATTGGTTTCTATTTATCGAGAATCCATTATTGAAGTAACTAAAATTAATTTGATGATATGAAATATAGAATGATATAAAATACAAAATATTTAAGTATATGTGTTATGAGTGATGAAATTTAGGATTCATATATAACGGTCAATATCGATAATGTCTGCTTTATTAGCAGGCATTATCCAAGCTTTATGATTGAAACATTCATTTTTCTGCTTTAAACAGACAAATTCTTCGCATTAAAAACAAATTTTCTGCTAAAGCAGTGAACTTGTGTTCGCATGGAAAGTCGCGTGCTTCTAGGCAATGGGAGAGGTGGAAAGCAGTAGATGGATGTAGTTTAGAATAGTTTCTGATATTATATATAGCTGAAATAAGACATTATTTTTTCAAAATTTTTTTTTGTTAATAACTTTTAATGAAGGACGAGCGACGGCTAAAACTTGTTGGAGATCACTCAGGATCATGACTTTAACAACATATGTTAAGATCAATGTCATTGGAGCTCGGTTCCCTAATCGATACTTTTACCGTAATTTATCAATTTTTATATTTTTTATCTTTTTGAACATTTTACCAAAATAATCATTAAGAAATATCTATGCCGCGGTAACAATAACAATACTAGCTAATAAAAATATGATTTAAGCTTATACTATAAGAAAGAATATAGAAACTTAAAAAAATGCGAAGAATTATATGAAAAACTAATTGTAAATACTTTATCATAATGTTGCTATTATACAAAGATTAGTGTTATTTAAGTATTTGTAATGAATAAAAAGAACTTTATTATAACTTTACATCATAAGACAATATAATTTATTAATTTTATTTTACTATTATTACAATTTTTACTATTTTCATTTTACTATTGTTGTTGAAATATCATTTATTCGACACTTTGAGAAGAGAGATCTTGTCTTGTAATCTTCTATGTCAGTAATATAATAATGAACTTCAGTTTTCTGCTGATCGTCAATTATATATTCCAAAACAAAACTCTCTTTCTTGCTATTCTTTGCTTCAATTATAACAATTAATTTTTTAAATTTTAATTGTCTTAGTAACTTTGAATACAATTTGATAATAAAAAAATGGAAGACAAAAATAATATCACAAAATCAGAAAAATAAATGTAAACCAAAATTCGATAAAAAAGTTATCTACTCACTCTTCGCTATCTCGATTGCGTCTTTCTTCGGATCAGTTCCTACCACATGTACGCTCAATTTTCTGAAATTATTTCCGTTCATTGTATATTTTACAAACCATTCTTTCAGCTCGTTGATTTTTATGTCCTTTATTGCAAGCACTTCCTTCTCGAATCTGTCAAAAATATATTCCGACTTCGTTATCTCATTCCAGTTTCTGTCAACTTCTTTTGCAAGATTGTCATAAACTATATGTTTTGCTTTTATTAGTTCTTTCTTTATATCATTCAATTCCTTTTCTGAGAACTTTTCCAAAATCTTATTAAACGATTTCAAAAATTCCTCAATTTGCTGGTCCATATGCTTGGTTGTATATTTATTTGTCTGAATGTGAACAGTAATAGAATATCCTAAAATTCCGTTGACATCTTGAAGATCACATGAGCCATATGTAAAAGGTAGTTTGGATAGCCAATTGCTTAACTGTTTATTCATTATACACTGAAAACAAGAGGATGAATGAGATGTGCAGATAAGGTAATGCGATAATCGAAAATGTTAATCATATATTTCATTTATTTTTCTAAATAATCCAAACAGAAATGATTATATATTAAGTATGAATAAATAAATCGAGGATTCTATTCAAAATATACGAGGCAATGTTATTTAATACTTACCATCAATAAATCTATTAACATCGATAATTCCATCGACCTGGCACCGGCTTGATAATAATTTGTTACTACAGAAGCTGTACTAACTTTGTTGATATTTTTCAACTTGCAATAGCTTGTGCCCAAAGATATCTGAGTGACTCTCACATCCTGAATTGTACTAGTAAGCAAAGGAGCGCATTTAATTATTTCAAGACATTGTTGTACAGTCTCGATCGCAGCTTTTTGCGTTATGTTGCCTTGCACGAGGCACTGAATATACAGACAATCGATAAAAGATTTCACAAAGTCTCGAAATTCTTCAAAATTAACACCACGCAGAGCAGTATGCTTGTCAACGTGTGTATAATGGACCAACTTTAGTATCATTAATTTCACGTCCCTATAAGAAAAAAAACGATATATGATATTAATTAATTACCAAAAATATAAATTATATAACATGATATAATTTATTTTACAATATTAATTGTTATAATTAATATATACCATTAATTGTTTCTATCAGTTACGTAAAAATTTTATAATTGTTGCAATTATGCTTGATAATAAATGACTAGTATTACCGGACGAATATTCCAGGTTTTATGAACATCTCGTTATATGTCTCTAATTGTTGCACTTTAACAATTTCAAATAAGTCTGTCGTAACAATGGTTGGATAATCTACCATATATTTTGCAATAGTCATCAATAAAAGCTACAATATAATTAAAATGATATATATCAAAATTATATTTATAAGAAGAAAATAATCACTCTAAATATATAGAAATACGATTAGCAATAAAGAAAAGCTAATAAAAGTAATGATACGGTAATTAATTGAATGTAAATTTTATACATGCATTAATTTTATTCTTTATTAACAACATCGGTTACATTTCGAGCTATTTTCAGTGGAAAATTTCTCACTTTCATAATCTCACATATCCGAGAAGAATCACGGTTCTATATACAACAATCGTAATTAATCCTGCACAGGGATTGTCGAAATTCAAGTGAGGATCAAATTAAAAAAGACAAACTGAAAGCTCATAACTAAGAATGTAAAGATACAGTAAAGATATTTTCTATTAATAAATTCTGCCAGTTTTATTTATAACGTTTGATCGACTATTAATACGTAATTTTATTTTCTTGATTTCTCTACACAATGTAATTACAGAATTTTATATAAAATTAAAATCACAATAACGTGGCTTAAATTATAAATAATAAATAAAAGAGCAGAACAGCCACAGGATGTGCGCGCGCGAAAGTCATATATTTAATTTAAAACATAATTGTTAAGACATAAAAACATAAATTTCGATATCCAAGATATGAACATCTTCAGTATATAAAACATGTAAAATATATAAATTAGTCAATGTGAAACGATGAGTCAAACGCGTTACAATTATTGATTACAGTTAATTTGCACAGATAATACTGTTGCGCCCATGCGATCGACTTGCGAAGTCGCTCTCGCGGACGCGCGTTCACGCACTCCTGAGCCGCGGAAATGAAGAACACGAGAGTTAGAGAAAGAACAAGAAACGTTTATTCACACAACACAGAAAGCGATAAAATAATGAAGGAGATGGTGAGACACGTCCGAGCGTGGCAACAGTTCTCGTCCAAATCTAAGATCTTATTAAACAATCGAGCAGCGCGTCGTCTCGGCAATGTACTCTTCGAAAAAGCACAGGTGTCGGCACAGCGCGGGTATAACAATACAATTATAATTATAGACGGAATTAGAGCCATTCGTCAATTTACATTTCGTAGTTGAAATTACAATTAAAAATGAATGTCAATGGATCAATTCGGCAAATTGAGACATTATGCAAAGATTAATCCTCGTGTATTTGGTCAAGTGTTAAAGATTGCCGCGTTATCATGAAATTTCCAGATTCAGTGATTTCAAGCAACTGTTGCGTTATAAGAGATGTAATGACGAGGAAAGAGACAATTTTTGCTTAATAGAATTTTACTGTCTGTCTGTCTATAAGCAAAAATTGTCTCTCCTCGTCATTACATTTCTTACAACGCAACAGTTGCTTGAAATCACTGAATCTGGAAATTTCATGATAACGCGGCAATCTTTAACACTTGACCAAATACACGAGGATTAATCTTTGCATAATGTCTCAATTTGCCGAATTGATCCATTGACATTCATTTTTAATTGTAATTTCAACTACGAAATGTAATTTGATGAATAGCTCTAGTTCCATCTATAATTATAATTGTATTATCTGTGAATATTAACTGTAATCAATAATTGTAACGCGTTTGAATCATTGTTTCGCATTGACTAATTTATAATAATTTTACATATTTTACATACATACTGAAGATGGCCATATCTTGGTCGAAACGTTTATGTTTTTATGTCTTAATAATTATGTTTTAAATTAAATATATGACTTTCGCTACCGACATCCTGCGTGTGGCTGTTCTGCTCTTTTATTTATTATTTAGAATTTTATATTATTAAAAAAAGATTTTATATTAAGGAAAGATACCATACTCTTACATACTTGACTTTGGGCTTTTTACTTCTTCTTTTTAATTTGGTCCTTCTTGAATCATTGTGGATTAACAATTACAGTGGAGAATTAATTAATTATAGCTTGAGAGAGAGAGAGAGAGAGAGAGAGAGAGAGAGCTGCAGCTCTCCTTGGATTCAGGAACATGAAATTAATTTGAGACTAAGAAGTTTTTCACTGTATAAGGATAGCAGACAGTGTAGCCGAAACGTTTTGACATTGAATGAAGTATAAAATTTGCGCTCAAATTATTCTTATTAACCTTTCTTTATTGCTAATTATGGTTTTATATTTATTAACTCCAACGCACACTTTGCATATATACTTACGGGTAGTTTTTCGTTAAACCCGTTTAATTCAATTGTAATACCCTTCTCACTGACACTAATTTGATAGTCATACCCCGCTACTGTAGCTGGAAATAATTCTTCGTGCAAAAGCAGGTTTAACACACGGCAGTACATATCTATGAGAGCTGCACTGAAATGTCAATAAAATAAATTTTTTTTATTAAGATACAAATAATTATGTAAAAATTATAATATTGATAGTTATTAATTATAGAAAGTAGTATATTTATATAACATCAGTAGTGATTATTAACATGTAGTGATTATTAACAATGTAGTATATTTAACATCATTACAATAAAATATTATTACATGTTCCGTGCTATTACTTACTTTTTTGGTGACTGAAATTTCAAAGGGGAAATAAATTGGAAATTCATATAACATTCTAGCAAACAAAACTTGGGATCCGGACGATACCAAATCTCCGATACTCGATCATTATGTACTTTTACAGGATATTTCGAAACTTCCGCTGGTATTGGTATTAAAAAGAAGTCACTAGTAAGGAATATATTCTGTAGGGGTAAATGAAAATCTGGCAATGGCTTAATAGATTTCCAATGTTTTCTTAATTTCTTTCGTAGAATAATGCTTGCATATTTCGTTTTGGACCACATATCGATTTTTTTTAATTTGGGAGTATTCAAATTTTTTTTAAAAAGAGTGATATTCGCGTTATCTGGCACCAAATAATTCAAACATTTTTGTATAATTTCTGGATCATACTCAATATCAATAAGCTTGTTTGCAGTTATATAATCACGCGGTGGATAGAAAAACATACCCTCACACAAATCTTTCACATAATCCATTGGATCCTTCTCATTAGCAAACCTAAAAAGGCAAGCGAATACATATAAGTAATGTCTCACATATTTTGACGGCTTTCCTCTTTTAATCGAAAAAGTAATTCCCTAAATTTAAGTAAATTTTCTTGAATAGTACTAAATAAATATATATTAAAATTAATATAATCCACTATTGCAAACTATTAATTCACAGACGTCTTTTACTATACCATACAAATTGAACAAATTTATAAAAACTGGAAAAGATAGATTAGAGAAGTTATCAAAATGTGACGTAATACAAGATTGAATGCCTGGATTGTGAATCGACGTATGTAGGACAGACTAAGAGAAAATTAGGGACTAGATTAAATGAACACATAGATATAAATAAAAAAAGTGGCTCACCTACAATAGTATCAGAACACAGATTATACAAACAACACGAATTCAGTTGGGAAAACGTACATATATTGGATAGCAAGCCTTCATATTTGAAAAGAACTATATCAGAAATGATATGCATAAAGGACAAGCATCAGGTTTAAACAGACAAAGCGAAATAGAACAATTACCGGATAATTACCTTCCTATATTGGATCTACTGTCCCCCACCTAATGACATCCCCCGACAAAACATTAGTCGATAAGCAAAAGATCATAGCAATGTCAGTTGAATTTTAGTTAACAATGCAATAATTACACAGCATTATAATCGGAGAATCGGTTATCTGAGGAATCAAAGGTAACTAATACATTATACCAAATACAATCATAGTAATTATTTAATTTACCTGAACTCATACTCTTGTCTCTTATAAATCTCATAACAAATAGTTTTTTTCTGTGGATCCTCACGTTTTAGCAAATTAATAAATGAAAATATCGCGTCTAAAACTTCTTTCAAGTAGCGTTGATCCTCATAAGAAAGCATTACAGTAATCTTCAATATAGAATATACATAATTATGTCTGAGGAATATTTCATAGTCACATTGGACTTTATCATTGGACCACATAGAACTCCACATCTTTTTGCGTAAATAACTAATTAGGGAACCTTTTCCTTCATGCCCAATAATCCATGATATATATTGATATGGTTTACTTTTGTAAAAATCAGATGACAAAGGTATTTCCCATGTTATTTCTACCTGCCAAAGACAATTTTTATTTTAAATATTTATTTATTATAAACATAACTTGTTTAGGATTTATATTCAAGTTTTAGTTACATACTCTATCCTCTTCGAAAGAATCAGAAATTAATTTACACTTTTTTTTTAGAGCGGAATTATCAAAAGAAACATTGCTTTTAAAGTCATCAGGAGGTAGCCCATTATTTGGTACATCAGTAAAACATGTTGCGACATATTTTTCCAATATATCCAGCGATAGTCTCGCCTATAAAGAGACATCGTATTATGAATTAACTATATTTAATAAGTAATCAATGACTTTCATCATAATTTAAATGAAATTAGGTACTTGTATAGCTAGCTTCATTCTGTGAGCACTATAATGACGATATCTGAATGTGTGCAGCTCTTTATGCAATTTATCGATATGTACATTATCGCCAAATGTTATTAAATGGTCCCAAGTAAATTTGTTGGCTGGATCAGTTTGCGCGAAGGAGGAGAATAGTTGTTGTCTCTTGTCCTCTTCACAAGGTACCAACTGAAACTCTATATTAACATGGTATATTAAGTCTGCAAAATATGGCAATAATATTGCAAGTATGATTTACATACCATTTTTTATGTTCTCTAGTTCTTGTATGATAGAATTTTTCTTTATCAAGGGTTTAATAAAAAATTGAGCAAAACGATCAAGAGCTGATAACAAGTGTTCTTCTTGGATATCAAAGTGAAATGTTGTATACTCATAATCTGTTGAGGCCTTAACAGTACCACCATGTTGATCAATAAATTCTTCAAAATTATCTTCCTGCAAATAAGATGATAGTTACACATTTAAGTATATACGAATAAATGAATTTTATAATAAATCATATATCATGTTTTAATACCTGTGAATATTTTTCGGATCCCATGAAAATCATATGTTTGAGGAAAGATGCCATGCCTGGAATTTCTGGTGGATCACTGAAACATCCTACTCCCACACATAAGCCGCATGCTGCCTGCTTAAATATATATGCATTAAACATTACCACATAGATTGATAAATAGAGAAATAACACAATCAATAGACCTTTAAACAATTTTAAATTGAATCATATACCTAGTGGAAAAATCAAATTATTTTAATGAAAACTAATAAAACTGATAAAGGATGTTTTTTTTTAGCAAGAACATAGTGTAACACAGTAGAGGTTTGTTTTCTGTTCCTGCACTGGTTGCACTAGTTCAAAAAAGTGTACACTAAAGCGTTTTCTGTACCCAAAATGGCGTCAGCGACAGTGTTTCTTGTTCCAGTGCAACAGAACTCAGTGCACGAGTTCACCGAACTGGCTGCACTAGGTCTTGAGGTAGTGTAAGCAATGCAAGTACCGGTGTACACTAGTTCAGCTACAGAAAACAGATCTCGCGTAAATGACGCATAGCAAATGGTGGCAAGTTCGAGAGTCCACGAGTAATAAAACGGTAAGTATATGGAAATAAAAACTTTTCTCGATCTAAAAGACTAATGCGGGGTCTACAATAGAAGTCGTAGAGTCTTGAGTCGTAGAAAATTAATCAATCACAGTCGAATATGAAAAGAATAATCGACGATGATTGGTCAATTTTCTACGACTTAAGACCCTACGACCGCTACGACTTCTATTATAGACCTCGCATTATATTTACATTTCAATACATTAAAAATGCATACATACAAATAAAAACCGTCACAATTAGCTAAAAATCGTAACTATTGAACATCAAATTTATAAGATTAGAAAATGTCATGCTAATGCGTAATAGTCAATAAATAATATTAAATGTTTTTACGAGTAATAATTTCTGTTTATTCATTTAAAACATAAGTAATATATAATATTTCTTATATATATATGTATGTATATGTACATATACATGTATGTATACCTATTAGTAATAGAATCAATATCTTCCTCATTTGTTTGAAGTCATTTGCTTGGTTCTTCCTTTACATAATTATTTTGATTACGCTATTTAATATATCTTATTTTACAGAATGTGATATTGTATAACCAAAATCACATATTAACAGTACGTGTGACAGCTGTAAAAATCAGAGATTTTGTTTATGTAGTGACGAACAGAGATAGGCAGCAAAAAATACGAGTTGGTGCTATATACATATATGATCAGTTAAGAAGTAAATAATAAATCCGTTATAAAAGATCTGTTTTTTTATTCTTGTACTAGACTGCGTTAAAACTTTTTCTTGCTTTCTTCAAATATCAAACATATACCTATTTCACTTTAAATTCTGAAAGTGTACACTAGTTCAGCTACAGAAAACAGATCTAAAGTATTCGTCTTTTATATTGTTACAAATTAATATTACTGTTTGTATTAGGCCGATATTTCATGTATTGTACGATAAGACTCCTCAAGCCTGTTTACTGACTGCAGGACAGAAATCCGAGAACTTTTTTATCCTGTAGCCAATTCACTTAAAAGGCCTTATCGTACACATAAAATATCAGCTTTATGTATAAAATTCCATATTATATTTTTTAGTGGGAAATAATATTTCAAAGGCCTATGGTTATTAATAATTATAATAAAATGGCATCTTCTATTATTTACATGGAAATGGTAGATTCATCTGATGAAGACGAAGATATGAACACATTTCCACCATTAGGAACATTCCTAATTGAAGATAATGATGGTACAAAATATTTTAGTATGTAGGCTTACAATTAGTATCGCTTATATCAATATAAAATCTAATCTGCCATGACTAACTTTTTAGATCGTAAAAGAATAGAAATATTATATCCTTTATTAGGATTTATGAAACGAATAAAACATATAAAAGTGGAACATTATATTGAAAAAATTGTTATTAATTATAATAATAAAGATTTCATAATGCACTTTAGATTGTCAAGAACACTAGCATATGATTTAATAAGACGATTTGAAGTATTTGATGCATTTACATGTATACAAGGTAAATAAATATATTTTTTTAATTGTAAAATAAGTTAGACATAAAAATTAAACTAAGAGAAGGTTAATTGGAAAGAAGTCTATTGTTTCTTAAAAAGAATTACTGTTATAATTACTGTTTCTTATAATTAATTGTATTATAAATTAACTTGTATCTTAATTAAGTTAAATTTTCAAGGTTGTTAACTTAAACTTAACTTAGTTAAAAAAAAGGTAATTTACCCAACGCTGGACATTTACCTAGGACAATTAAAATGGGACACTATAGCTTTATTGTCTGTTACTTTTTCAGATCGAGGGGAACATTTAAAAATTACAGCGGAAAAACATATATTGTGCTTTTTGTGGTTTGTCGGACATGAAAGTGGATCCTATCGGGATGTTGCCGACCGATTCGGAGTTGCAATTAGTACCTTATATAACATAATCACAAGAGTCACAGAGTTTATCATGACTTTAGCACCTAACATAATAAAATATCCTACACAAGAGGAAAAAGAAGAAACTGCAAATTACTTTCTTCGAGAGAAAGGATTTCCTAATGTCATTGGTATTATATTGTACTTATATTTATATTCATGTTTCATTAGAAATGTTTTATTTACATATACTTTTTTAGGTGCTATAGATGGATCTCATGTTAGAATCGACAAACCATTGGAAGATACCGACTCTTATATTAACCGTAAACAATATTTTTCATTACATATCCAAGGAATGGTTAATCATAAGATGAAATTTTTGGATGTCTTTATTGGATACCCGGGATCTGTTCACGATGCTCGAGTCTTTAAAAATTCATCACTATATAACGATTTACGTGAACTATGTGGAGGTTTGTTGAAACTAGAAAATAAGTGAAAAATGTCAAAACTAGAAAGTAATCGATATTTCAATGTTATCAATTTTGTTCTAGATAACTACTTTTTATTAGGAGATAGTGCATACCCTTGTTTATCAGAAGTAATCGTTCCATACAAAGACAACGGGCATTTAACATGGAAGCAAAGAATTTTTAATCAAAAATTAAGTTCATGCAGAGTTGTTATTGAAAATGCATTTGGCATTTTAAAGCAACGATTTCGCCAACTGTACCATTTCAAATTAAGAGATATTCCACGCATGGTACTTGTTATACACTCATGTTGCATTTTACATAATCTAGCTAACATGGACGATTTGGAATTATTTGAAGCACCTCTAAACGATGAGGAACCAAATGTAGAGGCACAAAATCATTATGTACATGATAATGAACCCGTAAGACAACATGAATCAGGTATAGACAAACGGAATAACATATGTGATGAAATAACTTGTTAAAAAATATCAAAGGAGTTATTTAAATATAATAATATAACCAATGACTTATAAAATAGTTCCAATATGTTCCTATAATAAAAGTAAAGTCAACATCGGTGGATCTCTATTCTTCTTTTCGCGCACAAAAAGAAGAAATAAAATTCGCTGATGTTTGCTTCATTTCTATCGTAGGGATATGATGGATCTGTTTTATAAGTTTATGGTTACATTGTTACATTTGAACTATTTTTGATATTTATATCAATTCTTGCAAAATGTTATTACATTCCTGTCGTAACTTATTAGTTTATGGATTGCTTGTACGTTTTTTTTTCCAGAAATTCTTTATGATACAAGACTTACTGACCAAATATTCGCTCGCTATACCGCTAAAACAAATTACAGCCATCGATGTGGCTAATGCCTTTGTGAGCAATTTTATTTGTATCTATGGCGCGCCCAAAGCCGTTCTCACGGACCAGGGATCAAATTTCATGAGCGCTCTCATGCGTGCGATAGCGCGTAAATTCAGAATAACACAATTTAAGACTACTGCGTACCACCCCCAATCAAACGGGTCAATTGAGAGAAGCCACCACGTACTTTTAGAATACCTTAAGCAATATGTAAATCGAGACAATGAGTGGGATGAACACATGAGGTTAGCAACGTTCTCATATAATACGAGCGTGCATGAAGGCACGAAATTTACACCGCACGAATTGGTATTTGGTAAAACAGCTCGAATACCAACGAGCGACCCGGTCTTACCAAGTGATATAAATGTCACATACGCGCAATATCTGACCTCATTGTTCAACCAACTCTGCGACGTGCAAGAAACCGCTCATAGAAACCTTACTCAGGCTAAGCGACGGTCGAAACAATATTATGACAAAAAAACCAACCCTCAAGTATTCGAACGCGGCGATCAGGTCTACCTACTAAAGGAACCTGTAAAAGGAAAATTCTCCGATCAATATACAGGACCACACGAGGTCCTGGAAATCTTAGATAATAATAATATTAAGATAGCTATAAGCAAAGACAGGACACGAACTGTACACGGAGATAAACTCAGAAAATTGCGCTA